ATATTCCTTCCCTGGACAGAACACATTTGTGAAAAAAGTACAGACTCACACATCTGGAGGGACTGAACTCTACATATTTAATAGTGGAATCTTGCCTCCTCCTGCCCCTAATGGCTCATCTATATTTTATAGAGCAGCTAAATATGCATTAAGCCTTTCCTTAATATACACAACATGGTATATATTTCTTCTCCAATATTTCATTTATAACCGTTATTGTTAATGGAATTAGGAATATTGTAATCTAGTTTTGATGCCAGCATTTCTCAACCTTGGCAATTTTCAGATGTGTGAATTCCAACTCCCAAAATTCTCCAGCCAATTCTCTTGCTAGCTGGAGAATTCTGAGAGTTGGACGTCCACACATCGGAAAGCTGCCGAAGTTGAGAAACATCGTTTTATACAGTTCTTACTGTAAAACCAGCATGCAACAATTTTCTCTATTCCTTTCTTTCACCCTTCACCCGGATAGGGCAAACATATTTGCAGCCTGAAAGTGTCAGATTTTCCTCTGTTTCCTCTGTTTTCCTTCATCAGACTTGTTCTAGGCTAGACAGGAAAAGCTAATTTCTAATGTGTGCGAACACAAGTTCTGCAGTTGTGAAGCTTTGCAACACTTTTATTTTAAAACCTGCACTCCTGTGCATTTACCTGGTTTATTTTTTAAAGGAAAGGAAGCTGAAATGGATCACATAAACATTCAGTTTTTTAAGTGCAGCATAATACTAAAGGCTTGTGTTCTATTTATAAATGCAAATGCTAAAAAAACCTGGTGATTTTTCAAATTTCATCTCCATTTTTACTGTTACCCTATCTATTAATATAAGATGCTGCATCACATTGTAAATTCAATAAACTCAAATGTATTTATACGTGAATAAATTCAGTTATAAATGCATCTGACGAAGTGAGTTGTTGCTTACCAGAGCTGGTGCCTTTTAATAGTGTTTGTTAGTCAGGAACGGTGCCAACAGGCTTGAAATTTTTGCCATTATGGATTCACGTGGCTCTCTTCCTATATTATAAACATAATTGATATTGGATTGTATATTTCTTTTAAGCACACTAGAGCAATTGTGTTTGTGTGTGAAGTGTTGGAAGAAATATCCTTCTGGGTTCAGTTCCAAGTGGGAAAAAAGACCCTGGAAACATGGAGACTGCTTGGAAAGATGGTTTAATGGTGGATAGGATCACATGGTTTGAGGTCCTGAGCAGAAAAAGGCTGAGATGCTGAGTGTGCCTTGGTTTTATGCCCTCTCTGAGCTTTGAACTTCCTGGGGCACAGGAAGAGTATCCTGATTCGTTGTCAGACTCCCAGGGGGTCTTAGCTAGCCTTGCTGGCTGATGTAATCTTCCCAGGTGCCATGTGGTGTGCTCTGTAGGGCGACCCGGGGTCCATTAACTGAGGCGAGACTAGGTTAAGATCAAACAAGAACTCTTTATTGCTAACAACAGCTGTAGAAGCTTGTGAGAAACTTAGGCGTTTGACAACTATTTATACTTTAGCTGTCAAACTAAGTAACCAATGGGAAGACAGTATTCTCCGCCCGGCAAGTCCATGCGTCTTGGCCAATCAGGGCTGCGCATCGTAAGTGCGAGGACTTCATCGTAAGTGCGAGGACTCAACATGGTGAGTTTCTGTTGCTAGATGGATCCTATTGTGTTGCAGATGATGGTCCATTGACAAAGGTGGGGGGAATGAGTGAGCTTGGCTGAGGCCTTAATGGCCCATTGGCAAAGGTGGGAGGAGACAGAAAGGTGCTTTGTCTTTAAAACATGTTTCTCCATTTCCCCCCGTCACATGAACCCATTTTTGCCATTTGGCAACCAGCTCACATTTACGGCCATTTGCAGCACCTTGCTGTCACATGACTGTGATTTACAATGTTTTTGCTGGAGACTGGTCTTTTATTTCCAGTTTCTGACCAAAACCACCCCATAGTGGGTTCATTTAATGATTGCAGTGTTTGTTTGATGACCACTTCAAAAAAAAAAAAGATTGTAAAATTGGGGCAGTCACATGGTGACCCACTTTACGACCATTAAGATTTATGACTGAGACTGTGGGCTTAATTATGGTTGCAAATTGAGGATTACCTGTAAACATGCTTGGTTTCCTTCGTTAGAAACATTCCTGGAAATTAGGGAAAGCTTACAAAATTCTGTTTCCACACTATTAAAAAAAGGAGTAGCAGGTTTTTCTCTGTTTGTCTCTAACATGTTAGCTTTCCTGCTGAAGTCTGCCAAGATGTCTTCTCCAAAGTACCATCCAATAAAAGCGTGCCCAGTCTCACAGTCTGATCCAGGTTCTGTCAATAAAGCTGCATTCAGGTGGAGGGGAGGAGTGAGGAGAGGAAGACTGTTTCTCTTTAGCACTCAACCACAAGAAAGACAATAGATGGCTTTGGCATTAAGCACTGTGTGCCTTTGATACAAATTAAAGCTGTTCTCAGCAAAGGTCAATTCCCTTTAAGTATAACTTGGCAGGTACTTTGCAGGCATTTGATGCAACACCTACAAGGACTAAAGGACACCAAGTTAGAACTTGGATAATTAAGCCTTCAAGGAGTTTCTTCCTCTTCTCAGGCAGAAAAGCAACACCTGCCTGTGTCTCCAATAATTTCAAGACCAGGTAGATCTATATTTTATATTCATTGCTACAACTTTACAAATCAAGATTGCCATGGGATGTAATAAAGAACCAGTTTAATAAAGTACATTATTCTGTTTTACATGAATTGTGAACAGAATCCATTTAGATAATAGCACTGCTTCAGGATTATTATAATTATATTAAGTGAAGAAGACCAGGTTTTAAGATTTTGGTTCTTTAGCTATCATCACTCACAGGCAATGAATAAAGGGCACATCACAATGATCTTGTACTATTACATTCTGTTATATATGTCTCTGAATGCTATTTAGGAAATAAAAATGTACTTCTCTCATCAAAAGTGCACTCTGGGTTTATTTAGATCAAGTACATTTAGTATTTCTCTACAAACCCTCACTTTTTTCAATAGTGATTTTCAGATTGCTGGCCAAGTATCGTTAATAAGCAGTTTCTAGTTTCTTGAATTCTTTCTTTATGGTTATTTTTTTAAACTAAACTTTTGATTGGGCAGGCCATCAAACAAGCACTATTTCCAACAGAGGACTGTTCTTGATAAGCATTCCAGAAATGCTCAGAGCTATGTTGGCATTCTTGAATAGCTGTTTTGAGGGGCTTTGTATTTTGGTTGGCATTTTGCTAACACTAGGGATGAAGGATTTATTTTGTTTTTGAAAAACAACAACAGGAACGAAACCTGTTGAAAAAAAGTTGAAAAGAGGAGAACTTGGTACTGCCTATTTATGGAATTATTATAAATTCCTGCCTTGCTACCTGCCATCCTGCCTATTTTTACTTGCACTGTGCATCCAATGCACTTTAAAAAGGAGCAGAGTTTTGTTCAGATGGTTGTGGACACCAGCTTAACATTTTTGGACAACACTCCACAGATGCCCCTATCCCACAAATATAAATAATACAAAGAGCACTAGAATTGTCTCTTTAATCTTCTGAAGGTTGGGACTAATCTAAACATACAAACAAACAAACATTATTTTAGGCAACTGAAAGCTGAGATTCTGCACAGAAGTACCTTTAAGATAACGTAAATGTGATACCGTGATTTAGATAGCAGAGGCGTGGTGTGAAATTTAATATATACAGTAGGTGCACAGGCCATCAAGAATTATGTATTCAGGGCACAAGATAGCAGTCAAGGGCACCGACCAGTTGGCACTCGGAGAACATAGATCAGCATTCTGTCAACCAACTTCAGCGAGTTACACATACAGGATAGAAAAATAAACGGAGGTTCAAAGAGAATTGTTCTCATTTAGACATGGTCAGAACTATGTTGGAATAGCTCTGGTATGTATCCTTCAAATAATGTAGGATCTTGCAATGTGAGAAGGCTCCATGTGAGTGGCTCCCAAAGAGTAACAAACCATTATATATTATACATGCACAGTGAGCTGTTTTGGGCTGATTGTGAATGCTTAGAATTTTCCTCCCTCCTCTACTACACCCTGTCTTGTCTTTAATTATTGTTCTGTCACTGATATTAAAATGTAGCTGCTTATGGCCAGACTGGTTTGTTGTGGATTATAGACTCCTTTAGGGTGAAAACTAATGCCAGCCCTGAACATTCATATTTTAAGCAGCTTTGGATAATAAGATAGGTGATATATACATTTAGTAATAAATTAAAAAATTAAAAAAAAATAGGGGGAGGAACACTGTGGTAAGGCAAAGGATTAAAAATGGAAGAGAGTTTAGAAAGCCAGTTGGATTTGGTGATTAAAGCACCAGATTAGAAACCAGGAAACTGGTTTCATGCCTTATGCATGAAAGCCAGCTGGGTGATTTTGGAACAGGCACTCTCTCTCTCAACCCACATCAGATTTGGGCAACAAGCCAATCAGCCAATAAATGTCACAACCATCAAATCAACACTCGGTTGATCTAAAAAAAAAAAAGAGAGAGAGAGAGAGAGAGAGAAGTGGTCCCTATCCATGTGGGAAAACACTAGGAAGTAAAAAATAAGTTGGTTTGCTTTATCCACTTTATCCACTGCTGTCAATCTGAATGATCAGTTGTTTTCTAAACCAGTTTTCTTAGTTTCAAGCTAACTAGCACTATCAAGTTCTGTAATTGGAGAGCACAGAATAAATTTGGGAGATTCGTGTATGCAAAGAATTTGCTCTAATGCTGAGTTATAAACATAAGAATCAGAAGTTCTATTTAGTGTATGCTATACTGAATAGAAAATTTGGAAACCTTTAGCTTTTCCTGAAGGCAAATGTAGGCCATAAGATGCTATATATTAAATCAGATTTTATAAAATATGTACTTATTTATTAAGCTGAAAATCCAGACAGGATAAACAAGTGTTTACAATATAATACAATAAGCATTTCCAAGATTTAATAAAAATGATTGTCAGTCATTGTGCTTCACAAAAGATTTCTTTTTAATGAATAAATAATTTGATGAAATAAAAAATATTTACAATATAAACAAACGGGAAAAGCTTTGGATATAGTAATCTGATCCTCCTGTATTTTTTCCATTTTTTTAATGGATGTATATCAAATCATTTCTTCTGAAACAATACAAGTTGGACAGAAAATTGAAGTCAGCAAGATTAATGTGGTCTGTGGATGTAGCTTTTAGTTCAATTCAAGCTACGAGTGCTTTGTTTATTAGGAACAAATACAATACAAATATAACTAAAATACAGTATCAAAATGCTAGGCAGCATTCTCCACAGAACAAAATGTACACTAGTCTTTAACAATAACAAGGATCACTGGCAACAAAAAAAAAATAGTACAACAGAAAGGTACAAACATTGTCATTAAGAATAGAATTGTGCTCTTGGATTGATCAGATGACTAGGCAGGTATAGTAGGCTCTTCGATGGGTTTGCATGATAGTGGTGTCCAGTCCCAGAGTGTGTTGGTGTGGGACTGTGACTCAAGCAACAGCCATACTGTAGGAAATGGGCAGTGCAAGCATTTTTGGAAAGACTCTCTTGGGCTCTTAAAAAGAGCCAATACAAAGCAATTAAAGTGTAACACTGAGAAGTTCTCATCTCATACACACAGATATCATGAAGCAACTCGCTTGGACTGTGCTAGTGAAACATTTTGCCTCCCCCAATGTTACTTGCAGTATCAGCCAGAATTCAAGTACTCCAAAGCCACTTCATAGCAGAATTTATACTGATCCTAAAGAGTCAAAACAAGAAAAGGGAGGAATTTAGTTGTAGGAAGGAGTTAAAGAAAATCAAGCTGTATAATGAATTAATTACAAATATTTAATGAAAAAGTTTTCTGTGTAGATTTCTTTTGAATCTATTAGACAGGGCCACTCTGATCAATCTGGAAAACACGTGTGCATTGGTAATAAGATCATAGAGATATACAATGTAGTCTACCATAAGCGGAATACTTAGATTAAAAAGATGTGCCTTGCAGGAAATGAAAGAAAATAACAAATACAGCATAACCTAAATACTTTATTTCACTATATAAAGAGACTTTTTAGTAAACTGTCAAATAATGGCAGTGGAATTTCTTTATGACTAAAGGACAAACACCATTTCTTATTGTAATGATGAATAAAATAGACTGTATCCTGACATACTGAATTGTCATGTAAGCTTGTGCATACTTGCACATACATAAAACACCAATGGCCTTTCAGCCTTTCTACATTTCAAGTAGTTTCACAAAGTACAACACAAGGAAATAATTGCTCCTGGCCCTTTGTTTCTGAACTCTTTTAATCTTTCTGCAAGATAGAAGAACCATAATTAAATGCAATACACTAAATGTCAAATTGAAATTAACAGTCTTGATAAATATTAGGAGATTAAGCTATTTATAAAATATATAATTTGAAAATCTGACATTTCATTTTACATGACTATTATTTCTGCCATACAAAGTCTGTTCTCCTTTTGGATTGCCCTGCCAGAAAAGAAAATTAATAAGGGTGTTCTGTTTAAAGTTGTTACATTTGCACAAAAAGTCTAACACACCTTGAACAAGACTCAAGAAGTAGCATAAAAATACTTTTATAAGTCAAGTGATTTCATTATCCCCTTTAGGAAACAACAGGCTTGCTTTTATGAACAGTACTCCACATAAATCACAAAAATGTCACTATCCCTTATGAGAACAGGAATAATTTTCTACTTAGTGGTACAGTTTAAAGAACTCCTACCAGAAGGTCCACCATATTTGGCTTATTATTCCTCAGAGTCTTCACAGCATGGAATACATCAACAGCCCTCTGGTGTTGTAGCATTTCACAAACAATACTGATTGCACAAAATGTCCCACTGCGGCCACCACCATTTCTGTAAGAAAAACAGCAAAATGACTTGATTATTTTTTAGATTTTGTTATTACAGTACCTAAGGATTTTTTTCACCTCCTAAAATAAGCTTATTTTATTTCATTATATACAACCAATGAGTGTTCATGTTGTCTAAATAGTCCACCCACAGACTGGGTTTGCTGTACAATAATAGGCTAAACAGAATAAATATTTATTGCTCATGATGTGTCTAGCTATAGCCTTTGGGATTTTAGAATTCTCATCTTCCCAGCTTTTAGGCTGAAATAGAAAATTACTTCATCCATTCTTGTTAGGCTAAGTTAAAAATTATATTAGGAATCGTGTTAACAATACAGCTTGAGTTGAACCAATGCATTGGTGATGTAAAGATATATAATTTGTTTGATTTGTATTCTATCTGTCATTTAAGAGCTGAAAACAATATATATAGTACTCCCGCTTCTTATTTTTCTTCACCAAGCCTAAAGTCTCCAGCTGATCTTCCATGGGTGAGAATGGATTAGCATCTTCGTCTTTACACTCTCAAAAGGCCTTATAACAATTAATGATTAACTTTATATAACAGTTAACAGTTTGGTTTTGGTCTACTGGAATATATAAAATTGACAACTGTTCAAAAACCCATATTAAAATAAATCAGGGTTTACTTCAATCTTGAATGTCTGTGTTGATATTGAAATCTGCAATATTTTATCCATTTGCTACTGGGGATTTTTGAGATTCCATTTTTATTCCATTATTTATTAAATTATTATATTTTATTAAATTAATCAGAAATAATTATTTTAGAAAAATACCCTTGTTTTCTAAACTAAGTGGAACTACTATAATTATTTGGTCAGACCTGGCCAAGACGACACCTGCCTTAGACATCCAGATGTTTGAAACACCCTCTTACAGGAAGTTATTTTATGGCTTTTAAAGGACCTTCATATGTTGTTGAGGAAATGACAGGGAGCTTGAAATCAGGAACATATTACACCTTTCCTACAGCAATTGTGAATGGTATCAATTTGTTTTTATACACACTTTAAATGACTGATGACATTTAAAAGTTTATGATCTTTACATGATACCTTTAAACTTCTTTCTCCCATTCAAGGTCTGATGGAAAAACATATTTTTATGATCAAACTATGAGAGGGATAGAAGAAAAGACTTACAACAAATGCCAAAAAAATAATAAAAAAGCTTCTTTCAATATATAAGGAACAAGAAGAAAGTCAATAAAATGATCAGACCACTGATAGGAAGAGATGGTAAGAAGATGATGGGCATAGGGAGAAAGGGGAACTGTTTAATTCCTTCTTTGCATCTGTTTTCATGCAAGAGAAAAAATAGATAAGAAATTGGTAAAAAACACCTATCCATTTTAGATAAGTTCAAATCACTTATCTATCAGGAGCAGCCAATTTATATCCCATGCTACTGAAGGAACTGATAGATGTGACCTTGGAATCACTGAATAAAATCTTTCAGAGCCCCTGGAGCCTTCCTATCAGATTAGTTTCCTGGATCTACTTCCTGGAAAAGAGCTAGTGTGATTCCAAGCTTCAAGAATGGAGAAAAAAGTAGATCCAGGAAACTATAGACCAATCAGCTTCATATCAATACCTGGGAAAACCGTGGAAGAGCACCTAGAAATGAACAAAGTGGATCACTTGAAGCCAACATGGGTTTGTTAAAAACAGATCATACCAGACAAACCTTATTGTCTAAGTGTCCCTTTCTGATTTTCGTGATTGCAGTTTTTTCTCCTTCTGTTGCTAATGTATCTAAAATGGTTTTGGGTACATTAGCAGCAGAAGGAGCAACGAGTGTGCAGATGGATTCAAAGTTGGCTGACCAACCATATTCAGCATGAAGTCCTATGTACTATGTCTACATGGAGGGAAGCATATAGTGGGGTGCCTCAAGGTTCTGTCTTGAGCCCAGTGCTTATCAACATCTTCATAAATTATCTAGATGAGAGATAGACGGGGAACTTAAAATATTTGAGGTCAACAACAAGCTAGGGGGAATTGCCAACACTTTGGAAGATAAGACTCAAAATTCAGAAGGAACTTGATAACTTGAACATTGGGCTTTATATATATGTATCCTTAGATATCTATTATCTATTTTAAAATTGAACAGCACTCCCTCACCAGAGAGGGAGAGATATGACAGCAACTATCTCATGTTTACAATGCAGTCCTTTCAACAGTCCCTAGAAGGTTCCACATCCATTTACACTCTAATTCAGATGATTCTGAGGATACAGATAAACCACCAAGTGGCTTCAACAATTCTCTGAGAAAGACCAATCTTCTGACCCGATAATCTAATGACCCGATAACTGCAAAGAATATAAATCCTTCCATTCCCCACCAGTTTTATATATACTAATAATTTATACTATATATTCGACTGGAGAAACTGTATCTATTCCTAGAATATCAGAACCCAAAGCAGTTTATTGCAAATATATGTTGCATGAGTTTAGATGCATGATTAAATTCAGCATTTATAATGCTTTATCTTTAGTTATTTTTAGTTTTCTAGAGATTCGCTCTCATTCTAGAAACCCTGTTATTTCTACAGCTATTCTAATCAGCATCCTTTAGACAGCACTTCATTGAAAATAATAAACCTTAATAATTACCAGAGTGCAGACTAGCTAGCTTGCAACTCTTTAAAGACAACATTCACAAATGGTTGATTTTCAAAGGAACTACAATATGGCACATCTGTCACATCCAGACAGCATGAAAAGAATGCTCCCTGCTGCCAAAATACTGGATAATATTGTGCCATTCTTTCAGCATCTAATTAAACTAAAGTCATTTAAAAGGATTATGTTGAAAGTTTTTTCTCCCTTCCTATGCTACCTCAAAGTGCCATACATGTGTGCACATACACGAGAGGTACTACAACCATTTAATATCAGGAGTAATCAAGAGAGATAATACCAATTTGCATTTGAAAAAGACCTCCCAGATGTGCATCTCAAAGCATTAATGAGCTAAACCTCCCAAAATAAAACATTATAATTTTTTTTCAACAGGTGAGAAAACTAGAAAACAGCGTGAGAAAACTACTGGACCATGATCAGCTGAAAAGAGGGGTAACTTTAACAAAATCTAGGTAGTAGCTAATTTTTAATAATTTCAGTCAGAAAGACTATAGTCTGACTGTATGTATATGAATGTGACAGAGAGAAAAATGGAGAAACACAAAGAAAGTGAAGAAATATATTAATTAACATATCATGCTAAGCCATGGTTTGACCACCATTTATTGAATAATCCACAATTGGTTAGGTTCTCACAATGATTACCCTCAAAAATCAAACGGGTGGGTTAACAAAACATACAAAAAAATTAGCATTTATTCTGACTTATCTTACACTAAGGTTAGGAAGAAATGAGGAAGATTATAAAGAAGAGCAGTTGAAATATTGCAGTTCAGCCATAGTCTGGTTGTCATGGAAAATGGTTTTATAAGTGGTGGTCCAAACTACACAATATATCACTACATAATTTCCCATTATGTGTCTGTTTTTTTTGTACCCAGGCATTTTTTTTTTGTTTTTTTGTTAGGGTCAATTCCTGGTAACTGCACAGGCAAACAAAAGTATTCTCTACCTTGACTTATCCTTAGCAACAACCATGATTCTTCCAAGGAAATTCTTTTAATCTTGGCCTATCTGGCTGGCTGGAGTCACTGAAGTAGTCGGCATGATCTTAAATGGACTCTGGGGGATGGTAGAGGACAGAAAGGCCTGGAGGAACGTTGTCCATGGGGTCGCGATGGGTTGGACAAAGCTTCGCAACTAACAACAATCCCTCTTATTTATTATTTTCTTCTTCATCTCTCAACTGGCCAAATGTAGTCATTTTTTTCTAGTCCTTTGTCCATTTCTATCACATCCCCAAAGTAGATGAATTCCTCCTTGCCCAAAAGATCGTTTTAACTTTAATAGTTCTGAACTTTGTTGTCACAGAAATGTCCTTATCCTGCATGATCTTGTCTGTTTGTCACAGCCTTTCTCCTTAAGATTGATCTCCTTTTTTATTCCTCTAACATACTTTCCTCCTTTATTCTTAAGCCCAAGAAAAACCAAATTATCTATCACCTTCACTCATCTACAATTAATCAGATGTCAGCTAAACAATCTTGTTTGCATCTGTTAACTGTGTTGATGTCCATTTAGTGCTACCAAATGACACTGCAAGGACAAAAACTGGTATTTTTTCCACCTGAAATTCCAATCCAATATTGCTAGCTATGGAAAAAGCGATGTTCTATCATCATACAGAACATTGATTCTGTGATGCTCGTATGCTTCAGGTTCTCCATTCAGTACAGTATTTCCCACTTATTTTTCACCAAGAATTACCAACCTATTGCTTGCCTGACTACTAGATGGTAGCAAAGAGTTAAAGGTTTTGGTTCATCTTGACTGCCATCTACCATAATCTTTCTATCTTCCTTTAATCTCATTTGTGTCTATTAGATCTCCTCCCTGATTACTTCTGAGCGTTTCTAATTCCACTGTAAGTTTTTCTATTATTTTTCTGAACAACAACAACAACAAAACATTTTTAAATTGTTTTTGTCTTTTTGTTGACATTCTCAAATAAGGTATTTTTTTTGTCCTTTCTTACTAGACCTAGAAGTCCCTATTAATGCTCTGAAAGCTCTTCAGATCTTCTCATCTTTGAGATTTTTAGATTGTTTTTACTTCAATTTTACAACGTCTCATTTCTTGGTACAGCTCCTTAAGATTCTCTAGTGCATAATTGATTCATCGTCTGAATCTGTTCCTTACATTGATCTTATATTCTTACTGCATACTGCCCACATCAAATCTTGTTAACCCAGTCAGTTTCATTCTCTTAGGTTTAGCCTATATATTTGACATCAATAAATCATGGTCTCTTCCACCAGGCTCAATAGATTGCACTTCTCATTCTTCCATTTCCTATTATGTTGTCAGGTTGATTGCAGTGTGGTGCATCCAGTAATGTCCATACGTAGACTCTGTATTTATGTTGTTTGAAACAGATTTGGCAATAAATAAAGAATTCTCTTTGCAAAAGCTGATTATATTATTTTCTTTGCGATTACACTATCGCAATCCAAATCTTCCTGAATTCCAATTATTTATTACTGGAATTCTATCTTTAGCCATGTCTCAGGGATAGTTTAATTGCTTTTTCTATACTTTGCAGAAAATGGATGATATGATTCTAGTGGTCCTTCCAATTTCATGATATCCTGAGTTACCTTCCAGCCAATCCTTCTGAGCCTCCCTTCCCATGCAGTACAAACAGTATACAAAATGATACAGCAGGAAAAAGATGGGATGAAACAGTGGCAGAAATGGTATCCTCTTCCTTACAAAGGAGCCAGGTGAAATCCACCATTTTGCATCAAGCAATGTTAATAATGTTACCTCTGGGAAACATATAAAAAAGCAGAAAGACCACAGTCCTCTCTGATTTAGTTCTCAGGGTGGCAGTACTCAGAGATTTATTACCTCTATTGAACAATTATTGACAAACGGATTGTCTATGAGTTTGTTAAATTGCTCTGGGGCTGTAAATTAGGAACTCTCCAGTCTAAATATTGCTTTTGCAATACTTTTACTAGGTAAGTTTGGGCAAGCTATCTGCTCTGTAACTCTCCCCTCCCCCCCCAATCCTATAAGGCCCATCTGTACTATGGACAATTACAGCTCTGACTTTACAGAGTTGTAGTATTTGAATTAAATTAAAATCTAATTCAAATTCTAAACAACAGCTTCATAAGAGTCACTGTTATTGATCACCTTAAGAGTTTTAGTCACTTACAAGCAATGGACAACTGTACGGCCTTCTCCTCCATTGTATTCTTCCTGCCACTTGTCCACTTGGCGTATGAGTTTCAAAAAAGACCGTTTAGATACGGGTGTGTCTCTGTACATAGGCCATCCCAGGAACTGAAATTGCTGTACCATTCGGTAGCCATCCTGGGGCTGTGGGGACCCAACCAACAGGTGAAGAAAAAAAGACAGCATTATTTATTCTGAGTTCAAATAATATACGCCTTACTACCTTACATTGTTATAGAAGATTGCGCCTTACAATGTTCTAAAGAAATTTACATTTCAAAGTTATGACTTTCAATCTCAGATTTAAGATGATATTTTAAATAGCTGAAAATACAGATATGCTGAAGTGAAACAATGGTACCAGCTGCAAGAGCCAAATATATGATTAATATTATAGCAATCACAGACTACCAAACTGAAATTTGCAATGTAATTCCAACAGTGTTGCTCTTTTAATATGCTTGTCATTGTCAAATTTCTGAAATGAACTTTCATTCTGATGACTGATTGTTAATATGCTAAATACAAACCAATTCGTTCAGAATAACTCTCCCTTCCTTGGCATCTTTGGAAAACTGTACTTATATGTTGAAAATTTCTACTAATTTATAACAAAGGGAAGAAAAGGGAAAAAACATGTTTTCCAATTTCTCAATTCTATTGACAGATACTTGTGATTTGAAAAAAAAAGTCTTCAGGGTTATTGATTTGTTTAGTTTGTAATAAATGTTCGAAAATGTTGAAAATATAAATGAATGTATCCTTAATTTTGGAAAATAATTAATGAAGTAAGTAAAAGACCTGGCAAAGTTGCTCATTGAGTGTTCTTCATTCTTGTATGTTTTTATTAGGCAGTTTAACACTCATCAGATATGGTCTAGATTTTCTAAATTCATCCAAATCCTGGCAACACTTTTGTTCCAACTGAAGCTTCTAGGATGGTTCTAATTATAGAATATTACATAGTCTACATTACACATGAAATATTTTATGAACATGCTTCCATCAAATAATAAACATTAAAATAAATCATCGATTAAATTTGGATTCCCTAAAATATGAACCCAAACTATATTTCTATCCCTCATAAGAAAAATAAGCAAATTAAGTAAATAAGATCCTTACTCTTGATGCATTATAAATTCGGAATATTCGACTGATTATATCTTCTTCTAAATCAGCAGAAACAAACTCTACTTGAATAGGACCATGTCGATGAACACCATTTTCAGGCCAATATTGTGGACATAACTGTAGAAGAAAGAGATTAATTCATGTGTAATTGTATTATTTAGCATGGTTCCATATACTCCAGTGATTTTTTTATTGCCCATTTGAGCTCCAAAGATCACAGAAAGCTTTATCTACACGAAAGGATGTCACTTCTTTTTAACTATCTGAAAAATAAGATTATTTCCAAAGATAAATGGGTATAATGCTTGTATATATGTTTATATATCGATTAAACTTTGCAAACCTTCAAGAAAAGACCAACATTTTAAATGCTTATGCTGTTTAATGTATTTTGCAATTATATCTTTTTAGAAAGAAAAATGCAGAAACAATTTTCAGCCTCTAAGAATATAACGTACATAGACTCCAGTGAAGTTTGTAGTACACTTCTTGTATATACAAATACAAATACATACATTGCAGGAGAAAACTTTTATAGAGGACACAGTGTTTATAATTTTACTTTTATTTACTTATTAACAGGGTTGTTTTAACAAAAATGGTTAGAAGGTTATTTAGAAAACAAAAATATAAATAAATTGAATTTAACTATTAATAATTACAATTTAAGGCTAAATGGAAAGAACAATTATTTTCAAACTATTTCCAAATGTTTGATGGAACAGAACTTTCAACTTCTTTCAAAAAAAGAACTGGGAAACACATGCAAGGAATTCTCTGTGGAAAATATTCAGTTTCTCTGGGAATAACACCAAAAAAAAATCCTTCCTTTGCTAGTTATCATGGGTGTGAAATACATCTGTTTTTCATTTTTCAAGGTAACATTTTTCTTTAATCTCAACAGTACTGGATATCACCAAAACCTTAGTTGCCTTCCATATATATAAATATCTCCTTTTCCACTTTGACAATTTGTTCCAACAGTATAGTGTGTAGTGTAGTAATCACAGGGGATCAAAGAGATACTCTGGACCATTTAAATAGCAGATAATATTATGTAGGCTGAGTCCTTCTTAATCCGTCCTGAATCTTCACTTTTCAATATTCCAGACATCAATTTACAAATGGGTTCAGTCAGACAGTTAAGGCCAAGCAAAACAAAACAAACCCAGAGAACCACTGAAGGATTGTATTTGGGATTTAATTTATATCCTGGCTCTCTATTCATTTGGACATGTAAGCCTAGCAATCGATATAATGAGTGCTACAAAAATAAAAAAGGAAAGAAGTTACTTTAAAATCTTGAAAACAACAAGTAACAATTAAAAACCTGGTGAAAAATGCATATTGTGGCTGATGCCCTGGAGTAAAAGAGAAGGTGCGTTAACTGCATTTCCTGAGAGAATGCACTCCCCACCCTGGGACTAACAGGAAAATGCCCTCTATTTCATGCTGGACAGACTGGGGACATTTTCAGACTCTAATGCTTGAGGAAGTTTGCATCAGAAGATGTAGACCTTAGCCATTTTGGCCTTTAAATGTCAGTAACAACATCTTAAATACTGCCAGAGCAGCAATTAACAAGCAGCACACGTCTTGTGATATCAGCATAAAATAATTCCAGTATTTTACATTAAACAGAAATGTAACTGATGAATTTGTCACCCACTACAATTTCTGGATACTCTTCAAAGGTATTGCCATATGAAATGTATTGGAATAATCAAAATTGACTTGCTCCAGGTAGAAACAACCCTTTTTTAAATATGGAATATTTCTTGGCAAAATTTAGAAACCATGCACATGAAAGAAACCTTGTAGTTTCTTTCATGTGCATGGTCTGCTAGTATCACAATACAGAAGTCATATTGGTATTTTAAAACATAATGCAAACTACGCTCTTCTATTTTCAAGCTAGTAATAGGAAGAAAATTGAAAAGCCATCAAATATGGGAAAAGTAGCTTTCAGCTGCATGGAGAACATTTGTAAAAATGATACTTGAAAATTAAAGTAGTTGGGTTTTAAACATTTTAATACTATGCAAACTTTCTGAAAAGAATTGCTTGCATAATTTTACATACCTCAATCATGTCTCCACTTGTTTGCCTCCTTTCTAGATTAAAGAGTCCCAAATATCACAATCTTTCCTCATATGGAAACTGTTCTAGCCGCTTCATCATCTTAGCTGCCTTCCTCTGAACCTTCTCCAGGTCTACTGTAGCCCTTTTGAGGTACGATTGTCAGAACTACACACAATATATTATCATCCCTAGTTTCAATTCCATTTCTTATTATCCCTACGTGCAATTAAGCCTGTTTTTTGATAATGGATGCAAAGTATGTTGAGAAGTTCATTGAATTTACCCTTACTCCAAAATCTCGTTCTTTATTTAGCTCTGATTCCATTACTTTGTGTCAGTAGTCAAAATTTTTGGCTCCAATGTGCATCACTATATACTTGCTTACATTTGATCTGCCATTTTGACATCTACTCCCCTAAAAGATTAAGGGATGTGGTGGATCAGTGGCTAAGACACTGAGATTGTCAATCAGAAGGTCAGCAGTTCAAATCCCTAGCGCCGCATAATGGAGTGAGCTCCCGTTACTTGTCCCAGCTTCTGCCAACCTAGCAGTTTATGTGAAAGCACGTAAAAAATGCAAGTAGAAAAATAGGGACCACTTTGGCGGGAAGGTAACAATGCTCCATGCGTCTTCAGTGTTTAGTCATGCCGGCCACATGACCATGGAGACATCTTCGGACAGCGCTGGATTTTCGGCTTAGAAACGGAGATGAGTACCATTTCTAGAGCTGGAAACGACTAGCACGCATGTGTGGGGGAACCTTTACCTTTTACCCCTAAAAGAATCCTTTGGAGTTCTTGACAGATTCTTATTGTTTCTACCAGTTTGAACAATTTACTGTCATCGGCAACATAGCTATTCCACTAGTCACACCTGATTCCAGGTCAATTATAAATATGTTAAAAAGTACTAGAAAGGAGTGTCACATAGTGTACAGGGCGTTATTCTAGCCCTGTGCTGTTTCGCTTAATTCAAGCGAATGGTTTGAAATGGTTTGGCTGAGGGATTAGAAAATGAGATTTTTAACATTTCTGGATGACACAAAGCTAGAAGGTTAGCAAACAGTTTGTAGGACTATCAAAATTCAAGAGGACACTGACAAGTTGAAACAATAGGCAGAAATCAGCAAGATGATACAACAAATATAAAGTCTTACATTTGAGTAGGAAAAGCCAAAAGCATGAGAATAGAACAGGAAGAGGACATACTGAACAAAACTACATGTGAAAAAAAAACAGTATCATACTTGTTCATAAGCTACATATGCACCAATAGCATTATGCATTGGCAAAAAAAAAGTTATCCTTCGCTGTAGCAACATAGGTAGAGTGTCAAGAAGAAGTCATTGTTCTTCTCTAATGCTGTATTGGAATCACACCTTAACTATTGTGTCCTGTTTTAGGTATCATGTTTTTGAAAGGATGTTGATAAACTAGACCACGTCCAGAAGAGAGTAATCAAAATGATAAGTGGCCTGGATGGAAAAATTACGAGGAAAGGTTGGAAGCACTGGGTATGTTTAAGGAAGACTACAGGGAAACCTGACAGCTGTTTTTAAAGGGCTGTCATGTAGAAGACAGGAAGGAATAGTTCAGAGTTATTTCACAGGACAAGGTAAGACATAACAAGTTTAAATACAAAGAAGTAGATTTTCTATGGACTTCTCTTTTATTCCCCTAATGGTAAGAATTGTTCAACAATAGTACAGACTACCTTGGGAGAAGTCAGCTGTTTTAAATTGAAGGCTTTTAAACAGAGGCTTCATGGCCATCTGTTGGCAATGCAGTAGCCATGGTTTCCTGCATTAGACAAGGTGATCTTTCAAACCCTACATTCTAGGAATCTATTTGGCCAACCCAAAAAATGTTTTAGTGCTGTGGCCCACATGGAATACCTTCCTTCAATTTGTACACCAGAACTACTTTTCCCCGCCAAAGGCTGTAAACAATTATGAGCAAGGAGGGTTTGAAATTACCAATCACACGAATAATTGTGTGTTACTTTATGGATGTTTTATGGAAAGATAAAGGACAATCATTTCTTCAGAAGAAGTATATTCAAACAGCAACAAGGTAATATCAGTTGTGTAAAAAAAATATTTGAACAAAGTGTGTTTTCTTTTCTCACTTCACCCTATGTACCCTAATTAAAATTTTGGAACAGACATTAGAGTAGGAAATCAGGTTTAGTTGCCAACAGATAGCAGGCCTCCAAAGTTTTAAAAGATAACGAAGGAAGACCAATGGAAAGTTTAAAAGTTTTCCTGCTTTTGAATATTCAAAACATGGCTGAGAAGTCAAATGCACTTTTTAGTAGCAACTAAAAAGTTTGATCCTACAAGTCTTTCCTTGTTCATTCTGAAAATAACAGCACACAAGATCTTTTGCCTTTCATGCATTTCCCTGGAGACCAGTGAGTGTGTTTGGGATACAAAAATATGCAAGTGAATGCCTGAAATTTATAATTACTTGCAGAAGGGGTGTTACTTGTGAACTTTAAAACAATAATGACAAAAATATTTCAAATGTTAAGAAAACTATTTCCCCTTATTTATGATAAATATAGCATACAGTAGAGCAGATGCAGGCTGTTATATGTTCTTCTCTTCAACAAAAGCATTTCATTAAGCAGTACAATAAATAATTTACTATAAATAATTTAGTATAAATAAATACTAAAGTCAGAAATTTTAGAAAAACAGGGCAGTTTTACTTTAGTATGGGCACCCATTTTTCAACTCCAGCAGTATTTGTAAGAGAGTTTCATCTTTAAGTTTCCAGGAACTGACTGACTACTTTTGATGTAGGTGCCACTTCAGCTGGAAAGAGACAGGAAGAACACAGCAAAGTAACATATCTAAGGCTCAAAGGAAGTGTGGCATTTCAGGAAGTCATGCCAGCGCCATTTTAGTTCTAAAATGAGCAACACTGATGACAAGTCACCATCTATGTAACACTTTGTCTGGAGACATAATTGTCTCTTGCCCAGTAGCATAAGCTAGTGCATTTTCTTAAACTGACATCCAGCATCCCCAGGAAAATGTCCCCATGAGGATCTGCAATTAATGGCACTGCTCCTATTAAAGAAAGGGGCTGACAGTCAGAGATTCTCATTTCTTTTCCTGAAAGAAAGAAGCAATTATAAAGAGCACGATTTCAGCATCACAAAAATAGATCTTGCATCTATGCGGCAGAGTAAATAATGGTTGATTTGGACTAGTAAACCGAGGATTCATATTCCCACTTGAGAATAAAATTTTATAGCTACTCTACTAAGTGCTAGTCTACAAAATATTTCACGACTCCCAGTTCCTTTACTGTTGATAATTGAACCTAAAAGGCAAAAGCCATCTATCACTTCATTGTCAGTTCTAAGTTTGGCTGCTGTAACTGTTGTGATTAGTTGACTCTTTTTTATATTTAATCTCAGTGCAAAGTTCTCATGTACTCCTTGACTTATATTGTTAGTCAAGTTATATTGTTAAATATTGCAAATATTTGCACTTTCAGATATTAAAAATACCGTGTTTCCCCGAAAATGAGATCCTGTCTTATATTTTTTTGAACTCCGAAATAAGTGCTTGATCTTATTTTTGGGGAGGTCTTATTATTTTGGGCACATGGAGCAAGATGGGGCTCCTCTTGCTGTCTTACCTGATTTCCACCTCTGTGTTTAAATATTTTATCTTCCGGGGGTGATTCAAGGTGTTGGTTACCATCTTTAAAGCGCTCCATGGCTTAGCACCTGGGTACTTACAAGGTCACCTTCTGCTACCGATACCCTCCCACCGGCCAATATGTTCCCACAGAGAGGGACTCCTCAGGGTGCCGTCGGTCAAACAATGTTGACTGGCGACCCCCAGGGGGAGAACCTTCTCTGTGGGGGCACATGCCCTCTGGAATGACTTGCCCCCGGAGATACGGATGATCCCTGACCTACATGCCTTTCACCGTGCCCTCAAGACCTTATTGTTTCAACAAGCTGGGCTGGCCTAAACATGAATTTTAATGGTTGTTTTAGTTTTTTTTTTTTTTTAATAAGACTGGGGCCAAATTATTTAATATATTTTAAATTGCTTTTAAATTTTTTGTATATGTGTGTTTTAGTGTTGGCTGTGCACCGCCCTGAGTCCTTCAGGAGAAGGGCGGTATAAAAATTTAAATAATAAATAAATAAATAATAAATAAATAAATTTTCAGGGAGGGCTTATTTTCAGGGGGATGCTTATTTTAGCGCATGCGCGCAAGCGCCCGATTGGGCTTATAATCAGAGGATGTCTTATTTTCAGGGAAACAGTGTAGTATGTTCTGGGATTCCCATTTTCCCAAAGAGTTCCCACAGCTTGATATGTTCTACATCAGGGTTGTCAAACTCAAGGCCTGTGGACCAGATTTGGCCCACGAGGTGCTTAGATCTGGCCCACGGGCCACCCTGGAAACAGCGAAACACCAGCCCACAGTGCTTCTGCCAGTAAAAATGGAGCTTGGGAGCTGGTTTTCGCTAGCAGAGAACTCAGTCCCACCACAGGTGCCCCTGACATGAGTGATGTCAAGCTGTCATGCCCACCATGGCCCCCTGAGGTCAACACAACCCTGATGCAGCCCTCAATGAAATAGAGTTTGACACCCCTGGTCTACATAACCAAAGGTCTTTCTGTAATCAGTGAAGAACATATCGATGACTTTTTGGAGATTTCCAGGACTGTAAACTGCACTGGGAAGCTGGAAAAGAACACCTTGGAAGCAGTTAATGGAAAGCTACTTCTATCCTGTTTTATCAAGAGAAATCTCTTAAAAATCAAACTCAACATGAAGGAGACATTACGTACGAAGCAAGTAATTTCACTAAATTTATGTATTTGACTTACTTGTGCTGGATCCACATCATTCAGCATCACTATTGATGTGCAATGGTAGTCAAGAACCAGTCTCCAGAAATCTTTGACAGTATTTGGTAAAGGATGCTGAGTGACTATAAAAGCTGAAGGCTGTTTATAACTCTGAAAAATAAGAAGGATATTTTAATGGAGGATTAAAGCTACAGTAAGAAAGTAAATATAAGAAAAAATGAATACTAATAATATTTTCTTCAAAAAATGATATTCTATTAGTTATGGAAACAGAAGAAAAAGCTTCTAATGAACCGGCATGGAAGCACTTACAGCTGTTCAGACTCAGAACAGAATTGCTTTTAAATACCAGTCTTCCAACGGAACTTGGAGATAGTGAAATTATACAGATATAGCCTTAAAGCTGAACCAGAGGTTCCTGTCCCTGCTGACATGTGTATATTAGCAGAATGCCATCAAACACAAGGGACAAGGAATGGGAAGCAAGGCTTAATTTAGGAATAGATAAAGGGTAGGTACTAAGGCTATGGGTTAAAACAACCACCAAGATGGCAGCTGTGATCACACTTGCTCATTTTTAATATATAAAAAAGTGGCAGTGTTTTAATTACGCTGTTGAGTCTGCCATGTTACTTTGTATGGCCTGAGGTGTACTATTTGACAACTCCTGGGTGAAAGGGAACCAGGCTAGAGATATCAGCCTTATTTCATGGCTGTTTCCTCTTCACCAGGAGTTGTCAAATAGTACACCTCAGGCCATACAAAGTAACATGGCAGACTCAACAGCGTAATGTATCCAACAGCTGTGTGTCTTAAGGTCTACGACTGTAGGGTAGCAGGTTGAAGGATTCAGTAAAAGTGGCTACTGCAGGCAATATATATAATGCAATATATATAATGTACAATATTTGTTGGATACTGTAGGCAACATCAATCACTAGCATAATTGTTAATGTGATACTGCCACATTTTGAGCATACCCCCTTTCCACGTATCTTTATTATAAATGATATAAGTGCTAACTGTTAAACTAGTAGTCGTATCAGAAAATATTGCTTTCTTGAGAATGTCTTTGTTCTTTTATGAAGTCTGCATTTTGACATGTGTGTATACATGTGTGACAGCCTTAATTACTGCTGTTCTAAAATGTCAGAGATATTCAACAAATCTCTAAAGAGTGTAAAACATATTTAAGTGTCCTTTTACTTAAGAGATGTAAATGTATTAAAACCTCCATATCTGCATTTAATGTGGATAGCGGTAAAAGTATCCTTAGCAAATGTTCATTCAGTTAGAAAAGAATCAATTGACTGAAGTAATGGCCTGTGTATTATCTACGCCAGCAGGCTTTTTTCCTCTTCTATTCATTACTATGAAAATGAAAAAGAAAACTAAATTTTTCTCCCTATATTATTATGCTGACTAGCTACTGTAAAGTCAGTATATGTGTACATGATAGTGTATGCATCCAAAGACACACACAGAAGCACACACACACAAACTTTGAAATAAGCCCCAACAAGAATGTATATATTTGTAGCCTTAGTTGCAAAATGAGTTACTCTTCGCAGTTAATATGCATACATTACATATGAGGCATACTGATTAAATTCATATATTGCATGAATCTGTTTTGTTATTTATTCAGTTTTGGTTGGTTTGTTGTATGAACTGAAACACTGGTAGTCTGTAAACTGTCCAGGACTATCACAACAAAGGTTATCCTTCAAACCAATTTCAATTCCAAGAGGTTTTAAGGACACATCTTCATGGTTCTTGGCAACAATATAAATGTGGTTTGCCATTGCCTCTCTTTAGATTTTTTTTTTGGGCTTCCCAGTTCAGTCTTTTTCTTCTTCTTCTTCGTCTTTTGGTATTTCCTGTTCTTTTATCCATGTACTGATGAGGTTTGATTCTATTGAGCTTTTTTGTGATCAACCCAGGTCAACTAAGTATTGTTACCCAATGACCAATGTAATATATGAAACTTGTTTATGATGCTTGTTAAAAAAAAGTTTATGCAATATGAAGTTGGCTGGACTATGATCCTCTCTCAACAAATATTTTCATACCTTAGCAGTCATATAACTTATACTGAACATATAGGAATGTTTAAGATTTTTAAAATAAACTCAGGAAAGCATATTTGAAAGATTTGAGCCCTTTATGGGGCCAAGCTTCTTGCAATTTTCCAGGTTCTTTGATATCAGGCAGATACCTTTTTAGCTAAGAAAACCAAGACAAGAGCTTACATCCATCAGTGCAGCATTAATGTAATTACTGCTTTCTCCATCTATTGTGATAAGGAAAGGCAAACATCTGTCTGGAGGAAGAACATCCATACACCGATTCTTCTCATGATTCCGGGGTAAAAGTGCTATGCTGCAATCTTCTACCCGAAGGGTTGGGGTCACCATGTTTAGAGTCTACCAAAATAAGATAAAATGAATTTGACAGAAAGTTACTCAAGAATGAATATGTCTTCAGGGTTACATTGATTTCCAGAGAATTAAATTTGAAGAGAATTTATGCTTCATAGAGTAATATAAAAAAATTAAGCTTTTTAGCCCTACGATGAAAGGTCATTTTGCAATATTTGGCTTTTGAAATGTTCTTCAATCATTGACTTACCCTAAATTCTTCTTTGATCTGGCTCGAATTGGTTTGAGGATCAAGTTTATTCATTTCATAATAGACTGATCTAACTTGTGAAGCTAGAACCGAGGTATCTCCACATAGACAGGCTTCCAGTATTGCATCATGTATGAATACATATTGTTCCTAGAGAAATGAAAAAATATCAGACAGTTGGAACAATTTTCCATAGCCAAATCTAACACATACTTATTCTATCTGGCATAATTCCAACCAAATTTTTATAACTGTTCAGTTTGTTTTCTTATTACAAGTCTAAGAATATAAGAATTTAAAATGCCTGGACTTGAGGTCTCGACCCAAAGGCAAAAACTAATATAACCCAAAATATTGTGTCCAATCTGGTCTAGCTTTTTGAGGTTGGCTATATACTGCTACTTTGTTGAGCATAATATCCAGATAATCAGGGTAAGGAAGCTCACGAAAGAGTTGCAGGGCACCTGACATTTAAATTTCAATATGTGACAAAACAAGAGGCATTTTCATTCTATCCAACGCGGCAACTGAAAACGAGAGCATGCTTAGAATACCTCTGTTTGCACCATGTTAACTCTTCGAGATCGAAGTTCTCTGACACAGTTGAATATATCTACAACTCCTTCTCTTTCTGCCATGTCTAACATAATGTCAATGACAATAAAACATCCAGTTCTGCCAGCACCTGCACTGTAAACACAAAAGCACAATTATTATTATTTTAACAATAGCAATTCCTTTCACCAGAATGGAAAGATTATGTCTTTCTTGAGTGACATGCCAAAAAAAAAGACCACGAGACTGCCAGCCACACACTTTGGTGTCCTGGTGAAGGCACCAAGCTAGAAACCAGGAGACTGTAAGTTCTAGTCCTGCCTTAGGCACAAAGCCAGTTTGATGAGCTTGGGCCAGCAAATCTCGGAAAAGAAATTCACTGAGAATGAATAAAATCTTCTCAAAATTAAAAGAGAGGTTTTAATCACCATAGTTGAAGATAATACACCCTTTTTCTTGGGAAAAAAAAACTTTTTGTTGCAAAACATTTAAATATCCAAATTATTATCTTCTGAAGCTTGTATCTGCCTTATGGAAAATCCCATTTGGAATTAATGAGGAAATTCCTTTCCAATTGAAATAAGAACAATAAAGTATTCTTCAGGATTGCAACAGTATTAAATCTCCTCTCCAGGCCTGGAATGATCCTGTAAATTATCAATGCTGCTTGCTTTTAAAAATCCATTTGTCTAATCCTAAAATGTATTTAACAACACATTTGCTTGGTTAACAGTGTTGTATTGTTATATTGGGCATGCACCTTTTATGAATGGTGGCTCAAATAAGTAGCTGGTGTGCCAATGACTGCAAAATGCCATCATGGAGAAATATATTCCAGAAGCTTTTGGAAGGACTCTGTAACATTTAAATTGGGTCTAAATCTAATCAGATTTTTCAATCTGTTGCAGTTGAGGAAGATACATTCATAGAACAAATATTATATATCATTATTTCCTGTTCATGAATGGTATTTCATAAACTGTAGCAATTAAAAATATGACATACAAATTAATCACACCCAGATAGTTCCAGCTGTGCTAAATTTAAAAAGGATAAAACATCTTTCTCAACTAAAGAAGCCAAAATAGGTTATACTAACCTGCAGTGTACAACTAATGGGCCGGCATTAGGTGGGCTTTTTGATTTGACCTGCCGGACGAATCCGAGAAGACCTGTAGCATGGTATGGTACACCATGATCTGGCCAGCCAGTGAAGTGGAACTGTCTGATTTCTCTGATCTCATGGGCGCCTCTCTGTTAATTGGTTGCAAGAGAAAAAAGGAAAAACAAAAGTGAGCATTTTCAAATGACATAGAAAGAACATAACTCCATTTAGTCCTCTTTTAAAATTTGCAGACTTTTGGAGTTTGCTCCCATCTTCTATCTTATTTTCTACTAGAAAAGACATTGGCATGATGTGGAATAACATTCCCCCATGAGTCCATGATATTACAAAAGATATTGAAAAACTGGCTACTTTCCGAGACTATTGATAGGGTGGTTGGTGAACCTCTACTTTTTTTGTTTGGTATGATTTTCTTCTGTTGTATTTAGTATTTCTAGTTATAGAAATTAGCATATAGAAAAATACCTTGTAGGTCTTCTAGTCTAACCGCTGTTTGGGTAGGAGAACTTATACCATTCCATACAAATGGCTCTCCAGTCACTTGGAATACCTCCATTAATGAAGAACCCACAACGTCTGGAGGTAAGCCATTCCTCTGATTAATTGTTCCCACTGTCAGGAAATGTTTCCTTAGTTCTAGCTTGGATCTTTTTTTACTGATCTTCCACCTGTTTTTGTCCTGTCCTCAGGTGCTTTGAATAGGCTGTCTCCCTCTCATCTGTGACAGCCCCTCAAGTACTGGAAGACTATCATATCTCCCCCTAAACCTCCTCTTTGTTAGACTCGACACACATAGTTTCCTCAATCATTCATTGTATGATTTAGCATCCAGATCTCTTAGCATCTTTGTTGCTCTTCTCTGCACTCCTTCTAGGGCAGGGGTGTCAAACTCGATTTCATTGAGGGCTGCATTGAGGTTGTGTTTGACCTTGGAAACTGGGGTAGGCATGGCCAGTTCAACATCACTAGTGTTGGGGACGCCTGTGGTGGCCCGAGCTCTCCGCCAGCGAAAATGGGCTCCTGAGCTCTGTTTCTGGCTGTGATGGCCTTCTAAAATCTTCTGCCAGCGAAAACAGAGCTCAGGAGGGCTGCACATGGTCCTCCCGAGCTCCGTTTTCACTGGCAGAGGCACTGCAGGCTGGTCTTTCGCTGTTTCCAGGGCAGCCCCACAGGCCAGATCTAAGCACCCTGTGGGCCAGATTTGGCCCGCGGGCCTTGAGTTTGACACCCCAGTTTCTAGGATCTCAACATCATTTTTGTATCGTGGTGATCAGAACTGGATACAATATTCAAAGCGGGGTCTCTCTAGTGCAGTATAAAGTGGTAATATCACTTCATGTAATCTTGAAACATCTGTTGATGCAGCCTAAGACTGTATTAGCTTTTTTGGCAGCTGCAGCACACTGCTGGCTTATATTTAAGTAGTGATCTACTACCACACCTAAATCCCTCTCAGAGTTACTGTAACTTTGAGCCAGGTACTGTACCTATTTTGTACCTGTGCATTTAGTTTTTATTGTCTATGTGTAGGACCTTATTTTTCTTACCATTGAATTGCATTTTGTTGGATTGGGCCCAGATTTCAAGTATGTCAAAATCCTTCTGAATCAAGATTCAGAATCAAGTCTATCTTCTAAAATGTTAGCTATTCCCCCCAGTTTGCTGTTGTCTGCAAATTTGATGAATTCCCCTTCTATCCCTCATATAGGTCATTTATGAAGATGTTGAAGAACACTGGGCCCAAGATAAAATATACATTGCTTTCTCTGTTATTGTTTTGTCTTTTTGATTACCGGTATGTAAAGCACCCAGAATCTGGAGCTGGACATTCTTTAAATCAATGCAACAAATAAATAGGATAATCAGTTAAAGGCAGCCAGCCTTTAGCCAGAAACAATTTTGGAACAAGAATTTAACTTAAAGGTGTCTTAATTTTAACAAGACCATGGCTAGAAACATTGAAAAATTGTATCTTTGCTCACCTTTTCTACTGCAAATGTTCGAATCACATATTCAGCGAGAAGCTCTGTCTCTATTAAGGTAACTTTAATGTCTTTATATATCTCAGTGTCATCTGGCCAGTATTTACAGCACTTGACCTTTCAGAAATACAAAAGAAAATTAAGGCTTGTTATTTTTCAGTTTGAAGCATTCCTTTAAGATTTTTGTATTGATCTGTGCTATACAGGCTAATGACACATAAAACAATCATGCTGTCTACATAAGGAATGGACCATAATATTGAAAAAAATGCATCTTCTTCCAACAAAAGTTCTGGGAGTTAAAGACAGGAGTATGCTTTATTTCAAAATGGGGAAAAATGTGTACATGTGTGCGCACACACAAAGAGCTTTCTGTTCGTGCAGTCTGTCTCTTTCAACACTATCGCTACTGGAAAAAAAAATGGCAGGATTGGTCCCAATTGGATTAGCAGGTGAGAAAGTTGAGCCTATAGTGCAGTGTTTCTCAACCTTGGCAGCTTTAAGAATTCCCCAGCCAGGGAGTTGATGTCCACGCATCTTAAAGTTGCCAAGGTTGAAAAACACTGCTGTACTGTATTGAATTTTGCTGGTGTGCGCTTTTGTCTTTGATCATTTCTCTTCTCAAATGCACCTGAGGAGTCATGTGATTGTTGGATGGAAAGTCCTGAAATCATTACTGCTGATCATATTTGTCTACTTTGGGCATTTTATTGTGATTCTGTAACATTTCCTAAAACTCCCTTTGAAAGAATTTCACACAACTCTGCTGTCAGAAAACCAAAATGACAAGGAACACATATGGAGGTTGACTGTTTCTCTGCAGTATGTCTGCTTGAAAATCAAGACCTTAAATCACATTCCTGATTTAAGGTTTCACAATGATTTATTTCTCATTGACAATATGTTTTCCCCTGCTTTGCTCAGAAGTTACACTTTCCATTACCATCAGATTGGTACAAAACCTATTGGTGACCCAATTTATTGTGGTCTATCTCTTTCATAGGTAAAGTCTGATTAATACAGTTTATTCAAGACCCATATAAAAACAAAACAGCTGCACCAGAGGACTCCAGTTTAACTTTAGCACAATTGCTTTGAGATGAGTGCTTGTTAATTTCCATTGTGCTGGCTAAACAATGTTAAAAATGGCTAAATTCCTCATAGAACTGTGACTTCCCAATGTTTGTGTGTGTGTGTATACATACATACTGTATTGCACTGTGGAACATCCCACTTCCCATGATCTAATGGCCAGGTTGGCCAGTGTCTGCCATTGGCAGATAAACAGAAGAAAGATGGGAGGTAATTATTTCTTCCTTATACAAGGGAATGATAGATTGTTTTAAGAAAAATTATTTGCAAAGTACTTGTTACTTTTGCAATGTCTTTACTTTTGTAGGGGTGGTAATTATGAAAGTGAATAAAAGAAGTCTGATACTAGAATGTAAATAAATTATTAATGCAAATGTTCATATTTCAAGGAGCATGGAACATCTTTATGTGGTCTATGTGGAAAATCATATTGTATTAGGGACTTCATTCAAATTTCCTGCACGTTGTGCATACGTGCAAAACGATGTAGCAGCTTTTACATAGGTATATGTATTGCTGTCTTTGCATATTTTACAAGTAAGAAAATGGCAGATGAGATATTATGCATGCACAGAAGCATACAGCATACAGTACAGACAGATTCAGTCCACTGAAGTCTGTAAAATGAAGATCTGTTAAATTGAAGTTTTATTGTGATAAATTAGTGGAAGAGATACGAATGCTTATCAGGTTTGCGGAGGTCACAAAATTGGATGGAACGATTAACAAGTAAACCTTAGAATAAATTCAAAAAGGTCTTAATAGGTTGAAGAAATGGGCTGAAAATAACACAACAAAATTTAATTGAAGACAAACACAGGATTTTTTTTTAGTGAAACAGAAATAAAAATGGTAAATAAAAATAAAATAAAATAAAATAAAAATAAAAAACAGAATGGTAAACATGTGGTTTCGTAAGAGTATTTATTTAAAAAGATCTAAAGATAAAAACTCCAAATCAGGCTTTATTCTTGGTGACCACATACTTTTTGGCAACAACATGGAAGAGATTTTTCCCAGAATGTCTTTCTACTTTCCATGATCTTGCAGTTCACATCAGCCAGCACAGTGCTCAACAGGTTCAATCCTGCTCCCAAAGTTATTGCCTAATTGACGGTTAAAAATTCCCTAACTTTCTAGTAGAGCAGTTCAACAGTAGAAACCATTATCCGAAAAGGATGTGGGTTCCTGTTTGTTATAAACTGAACAATTCCCCCTGCCTAGGGCAGTTTAATTTGGACTTCTACACTGAATTAGATCATTTAAACGACCTTTTCCAATCCTGTGCATCTATGATTATAACTCCCAGGACTCCTAGTTCACTGTAGGATCTCTGCCAGTAAGGCTAGACCACCTATTGTCAAGAATTAAGAGATATTATCCTCATAGCAATAGGCCCTGTAATTTAATTTTTCCCACAGAATGACACTTTCCCTTTATATATCAGAGGAAAAAGACTGCAGTTAGGGTTATCTCTAAGATTGGTGCTACATCTGCTTCCCAACAAATCCTGTTGCTGTACGGATTTATTTGGATAGCCCCAATAATTTTGGTTCAGATTGGGCATAGGAAGACAGCTGCCTTTGGTGTGTCTTCTAATTTACTTCTTATTTACAGTGATCGGCAGTGTCTTTCCAGACTTTTAGATGAAAGTCTCTCCTGTGCTCTTCTAGGGATTAATAACGGGGTCATCTACATGCAAAGCAGATGCTGTGTCACTGATTTAGTTGTTTCTCCCTCTTGTCAATATGTTATAGGAAGAGCTATCGCTCAGTGGTAGAATGTAGAGAGACTTGTAAAAAGGTCCCTAAAACATGTCTGATGAGAGTAAGGCTTGGGAGAAAAAGGATTTAGTTACTTACTCAGGCTTACAGGCCATTTTAATTGCAAACAACATTAAGTACTTGTCGTGGCATCACACAAAATTGGTGAGCAGGAAATGGTGTGGACCCTCTTTCCTCTTTGCACATATAAGGGCAGGAAGGGCTACTTAGCCAGCAGAGACAGTATGCGTAATTTAACAAAATTTGTATTGATGAATTCCTCGGCATGCATGCTTAGAAGTTACTTAGCAAGCTTTGTAAATTGCACCATTGTACTGTAAATCACTCTCACCTTTGAGCCTTTTATCTGTATTCCTACTTGTAACAATTAAGAGAAAAAATACAGCAGGAGTTCTGTGATCTGATACCTCCTGAGGCGAGAAGGAGCAGCAGCAGCTGCACAGTAGAAATGGTGTTTCCCATAAAAATATTCTTAGCAAAGGATCAAATGATTCCCAAGTTACTGACAAAATGTCATCAATCCATCCTCAGGTTTTGTTCTGCTAGAGATGATGCCTTATTTAACATTCCCCTGAGACTAGGTCCACTGTCTGAGATGTGATCAAGTCTATGATAAGATCTGCCGTCAAGCCATTTCCAAATGTTATTGTTTATATTACTGTCTCTTAAAAAAAGGTGTAAGAAGCTGCTGAAAGTTTGAATCTTGGTGCAGAACTCTCTTAATATTTATTCATTAAAATCCTTTTTAATATTTTGCCCTGGTTTAAGTTATTATCTCTGGATGCTAAAGAATTCACAGTATTAGCTCTGACCTAGCCACCAGATGGCAACACAATGCTGTACACAGTTACAATATAGTAAACAGGAAAGATATAAACAATAAGTAATAACGTAAAGCAAATAATAGATACCTTCCTGTTCCAGCAGGCTGAAAAATAGCATTTTTAGTAAAAATCTCTGTTGGGTGGGAACCTACCATTCTCACAATTCCTGAAGGTTTTCTGAAATACAAGGTCTCGGTGGCTTTTCTAAGGACCAAACTGATTGCTGGTCTCTCACCCTTGGTGGAGTACTGGTTCAAAGAAAAGGGGTACTGCTAAACAGACACATCCTTCAAGGGGAGGACTTAAGGAGTGCCTTCCCCATTAGATTTTTTTTTGCACAGGCAGAAGCCACTAGGACAGTGATGACAAACCTTTTAGAGACTGAATGCCCAAACTGCCACCCAAAACCCACTTATTTATCGCAAAGTGCCAACACGGCAATTTAACCTGGATAATGAGGTTTTACTATCTAAAATAATGATAAACAACACAGAGTTCAGCTAATTGTTCTAAGAAAAATGTGATAAATGCACTTTTATGCTCCTTCATTTTTCTGCTTTTGAAATATTACGTTTAGCAACAATAAAAAAGAAAAACTTTTGTAATATGATTTCTCTCTTTCCCTCCACTCTTTCCCCCCTTCCTCTCTTTATCTCTCTCTGTCTGTCTCATCTCTCTCTCTCTCTCTCTCCCTCCCTCCCTCTATTTATCTATCTATCTATCCTTGCTCTCCTGCTCAGCTTCACGTGTTGTGTGAATCCAACCATTTGGGCTGTGGAGGAGTAATGGAGGCTGGCAGGCAAAGCCAAGCGTTAGAGCTCCACACAAAATAAGGCAACTCCAACCTGTCGGGATGACCCCCCCCTTCCCGCTCTCCCCCTGCGGCAGAGACCCAGGCAGCCTGAACACAGCTCCTTCTCGGAGGCGACCAACAAGCAAACAAACATGGCACTCTGACTGGGAGGTGGCGGTGGGGAGCCCCACCTCTGGCCAGCGAGAGCAGAGCAGGCAGGGCATGTACCTTCCCTGCTGCCGCTGTGGCGCAGGCCGGGATGGATGCATGAGCCGAACATTTGGAGCTGCAATTGGCGGAGTTTGCAAGTGGGCTCAGTGGGGCCGCTTAGTGGGGAGACCCCGGACCATTTGGTTTGCTTCAGCGCAGGGTGGGAATGCAGAAGTTAGAGGAAATCCATGCCTCTTGGCATTCAGCCCTCAAAGACTGCTTGGGGTGACTTTTTCTGCTTTTGAAACATGATGTTTAGCAACAATAAAAAAGAAAAGCTTTTGTAATATAATTTCTCTTTCCCTCACTCTCTCTCTCTTTCCCTCCCTCCTCTCTCTCTTCCCCCCTTTCTGTTTTTCTGTCTCTTTCCCTCCCTCTCTCTCTATATCTTTCTCTGCCTCCCTCTGTTTCTCT